ACTTAAGACTTTGGACTTTAGATAAGGGGAGCAACTCAAAGTGTAAAATTTATAAATCACCTTTGCGGTTGAATTAATAATGCAATATGACATTTGATATTATGTTATCAATAAACAACATACTTCTGCGACATTTAAAAATATGGAAATGAGAAACACTTGGATTACTTCAATGATTAAGTCAGTCTCTTTTGAGTCAGATGTATTTTCCTTTTCTCGCTTTTTTACTTCTTTATTTAATTATTCTTTAATTTTAAATAAATTTTATTATAAATACTTGACTTTCAAGATTTTTCGGTTTTAAAAATTGTTTTACATATGCCTGTTTCAACACCCAACACCACCCCCTCCGAAAAAAAGAGAAAAAGACGTGTTCCTAATGTATATCGAATTTGAAATAAATAAAGAGTGATGTACATTTGACTTTGCTGGAAACATGATGCAGACTCCTGATCTACTCAGCTTTTTCAGATTTATATCGATTTCAATTACCTGGTTTAATCCATTTACATAAGCGAGGCTTATATACAGAATTAGTGTTAAAAAGCCAGTTGATCCCACCCTCCGTATGGCACACATATTTTGGTACAGTACTTGTATAGGCAGTGAAGAAATGTTATGCAAATGTATCTAAAAGACGAAAATAACCACCCACCAACCCACCCCATCCGCACATACACTCCCCTCCCTGAGGATAGAAATTTAGATTTTAGAATATCCTCAATTTTCTGTTTGTCAAACATTTTTTTTCAGATAAGTTGCCCCCCCCCCCAATACACTTATACCAATAAGAGGGTTGTTAGAAAAGTTCGCGGACACATTGAATTACAGAAAATCTATTGTGTACTGTGAAGTATGACCTATGTCTGAATGAATTCCTACATTTTGTTTCTTGGTAAGTAAAAAATCAGGTCCATATACCTGATAATAAAATATTAAAATTTTACAACTATTTTTACTATGGGGTCATGGGATTAACGGAGCAATCACTTGACGTAAGGCGACGTGACAACCAGATTTCACCCTTTAAGCTTTGTCGCAGTTCTATAAATCTTTCATTTCCTCATATTTTCTTATCTATTTTCTACTTTAAAATTGAATATCTATATCAAGACATATTACTTTTCTACTATAATGTCTTAAGTACTGTTTTGGACATTAGTGAGATGTTAAAATTTTTTAAAAAGTCTATACATTCAATCGACCAGGTATGGAAACTATGCAAAATTATAAAGGTACAACGCAACGTCCATGCAGGTATTGAAGCATCGATGTAGTTAATCATTCAAATCAAATCCTTTCATTCTTATGAAGCTACAACCATTTGAAAACTTGTTCTTTGTATGTGTAGGATAATTATGGCAGCATCTTGCACATTTTAATCTGTTTTTAGACATTTTCCTGTCTGCACACAGAATTTTTACGTAGTGCAGTGCTCCATGACGATCATTGACGTTCCGATTTTTGGTTGTGTTTTTATGCATTGATCATTAATAAACGGCTATAAAACATCCATTTACCCTCCAATTTACTTCAAATTTCTCCCAGTGACGTTTCATGCACACTTTAGCGGCAGGTAAAATATCATAAATCTTCTGGGACTACAATTCTGCAATTTTTAATTTTAATAAAGAGTTTTTGTGATGTAAACTTGCCAAAATGTAGCATGCTCCGTGAAGCAAGATTTATCAAAATAAAAATACCGTATATTTTTAAAACAATCACCGGAGAGCACCAAATTTTCGTACATTTATTGGAAAAAAAACTCAAGATTACATTGTATATCTTGAAAGTTTGACCTGTTTCTTGGAAATAGCGCGCTCACAATAGAACTTGTCCGCGAACTTTTCTAACACCCCTCACACATTTTCATCGATGTGCCTATTCAGTACATATTTTACATATCAAATAACTGAAGAAATTAAGCTTTTATTTACTTAAACAATTCTTTTATTCAATATTCAACAAAATAAAAAAAATCTAATTTTTTTTTCATTTTTCATTTTTGTTCTTTGAGAGACAGCTTTAATTTATTTATTGTCAACTTGGTTTCTAAATTGTCCACGGTGACAGTATTTAGAATAGGCTGTTTTAGTATCAGTTTTTATACAGTTAAATATTAAATTAAGTTTTGACAAAATAAATGCTTTCTACTCAATTTATTTTCCAACATAAAAAGGCAAAGCAAATTGGAATTGAAAATTATAACGCAAGTAATATATGACCCAAATGTGTATATGCATGACAAAACATAAAAGCAATATCCTTCACTCTCAACGCGTTCTTTATTTGAGATTCTAATAGGAACTACGATGTCACATAAAAGGAAAAGAAAAAGACTTACCAAGACTGCATACTTTTCGATTTGGGACAAAATCTATCCAGTTTTTTTTTTCAGACAATACTGACGCCAATTTGCTCATTATCAAATAATCAAAATCTAAAAAATTCCCAATGATCGGATGCTGTACCTTCATTTTTACAAAAAATACGAATGTGAAGTTGAAATATAGCGTCTGTACAAATCATCTGAGATTGTAGTTGATTGTAGTTCATATTTGATACGCTTCAATTTAATAATGCATATATACTAACATATACGTTACTAGCTGAAATCCCGTGCAAGTGCGGGGGGATTTTTTTTTGCTGCTAACAGAACTAATTATAATCCAAAAACTATCTTTCAGATTCTATTGACAATTTATTACACAGGAATGTTGCATGACGAAAAACTTAAAGTCCCGCAATTAGTGTAGGAACAGAAATAGACAAGTAAACATTGAAGTAACCATCAATTGTCGCCCGGGAAATATATAATGTAAGCAATGGTAATGCGTCTTGATCATCAAACCGCTGCGTCTAATTGATGGCGACCATAGTCGCGAGTATTTTGAAAACTTACAGTCGGATAAAAATCAAACAAAAACGTTACCACTTTAAATTTGATCAATTCCTCATAAAAATGTTGGCTGCATAAAATATAAATTGAAGTTAGACACATGTATCTCCAATATTCAAAAATGTTTTAATTTTCAATTTTAGAATGTAAAACAAATTGAACTATGCGGAGTGCGTTTTTATGCGAGAAGTAAAATTCGAAATTCTAAAAAAAGGGATCTGTCTTTTTTTTCGATAGTATATGATAAGCAACTTTATATATTAAACATGTAAAAAAAATTATTTTTACATATTCATTTTATGGAAGTAAATATATTATGTATCTCGAAATTTAGAAAGGGAAAGAACATTCTGATTAAAAACATTTTCAATTTTTAGAAAACCTTTAATTCTGAACAACTTCTCACACCCCAAACACCAGACACCAACACTTAAACTTATATGTATAGAGGAGCCCGGTCCTCCGGGCTGCAATAATTATAAGAAATACCTTTCCTACTAAATCCTCAACATGTTCTCGTAAAGCAACTTTATTCTGTTGTACTAATGTTTTACATCATGTACTACATATAGGTGTTCATTGGCCAGTTCTATTTACATGTTAAATTTTTATTTTAATATATTTTGTGTTATATCATTGCTTATTATACTTACATCACGGATAAGATATTGGATGTGCAAATTAAACTATACATTGTAAATTTGTCAGCATTTTAAAATATTGAAAACAAAAATTTGTTATCATCCCAAATGTATATATAGACCTAAAAGGTATAAATAGGTTTTAAAAATATAAGCCTGTATGTAGAAAATCATTAAAGTAAATTATTTAAAAATTAAATTTTACCATTCCATATGTCTAAACAAATAACCATGACCATTAATCGACATTTATTTATAAAACATTAGCACAACTTTCCAAGATATATTCACAAACTCATTGTGTTCCCTATTTCTTTACATTTAGTTCCATGTCCATTCATGACAAACAATCGCCTCGATTTTCTTTTAGACACCGGGTTAGATGCCACCCAACTTTCTAGAACTTTCCACAAATAGCGAGATCGGACAAAAACCGAAAGGATTTGCACATTTTGTTTTTTAATCTATGACCACAGCTTATTTCTTTTATATCACTTAAATCAAGTATTGATTGAATAATTAATTAATGACGTTTTATGGAATAAATAAGCGCTTGCTTGTTGTCAGTTTAATTATAAAATGCTATTAACTTAGATCCGCCACCACTTTACTCTCTTCCGGTGTAACGTTGAATATTGACCCGAGTTGAAAATTGACCCGGGGGTCATTTTTCAACGTTGAATATTGAACCGAGGTCATTTTTCAACGTTGAATATTGAGACTAAAAGTCGTTGAATTTTTACCCGGGGTCATTTTTCAACAGCTTGATAATTGTTTTTCTTACACCTGATGACGTCAACAAGTTGAAAATTGACCCTGTTGAATATTGACCCCACCTCAAAGTTTGAACATTTTTTTTAGCTGGAAAGTTGTTTTACGGGATTTATCAGTATCACTTTATTTATATTTCGGTTTCAATTTTTTCCCTTTTCAAGAATAATAGAAATAAACATACAGTATCACCCCGTGTATATATGTACATTTTGATCAGTGCACGGTTTCAGTTATCTTCGCAGGGGCGTAGCAACAGGGGGGGGGGCTGTCCCCCCCCCCACTTTTTTTCTCAACCTTACCTATACTATAGCAAATGTTAATTGAAAATCTGGTTCCCCCCCCCCCAGTTTTAGTGATGTGTCGAAAATGAAGTATTAGAATTGGTACTGAAGGAACACTGTCACGTGACGAGTAGGTGGAAGGACGCTTTTCTTCTAGCTCCCGTCTTTTTGACAATTTTGGAAGTTTAAACGCTTCTGGAGTGCAGATTTCTGCGCGGAAAGTGTATATAGTGTGAATGTTTGTGATATTTATTTGTTTATTTGCATTTCAAGCTGAAACTTTTGTAACTTTGTGAGGATTTTGTCTCAACGTATTTATACGACGCATCGGTGAGTATCTACTCACTACTATTATCCAAGTATTTCAAAACTTGTGGCATTCATTGAACTTCGTCCGTATACAACATGGACAAATTAATGAAACCAGTTTTTCTAAAAGATAGTGAACTGCCAAAATCAAATAACGAAAGAATTACAAACTTTGGTTTATTAGATGCAGTAAGCGTAACAATAGGGGACACGGTTAAATGCGTCCAGTTGGAACGCGACCTCTGGCGAATCTACTTAAATGATAAACAAAGTCGAGATAAACTTATCATTGACGGATTTGATCTCAACAACCAACATGTGAGAGTGTACGAATCGAATCCCTACTCAGCTGGTCTTACTGATCCAGAAGACCCAGTCCTGAAAGTTACGATATGCGGCATTCCACTCTCCGTGGATGACTCCGCTATACATGATATGCTCAAAAAGCTAGGAGTGCATCCAAAAAGCGAAATTAAATTCGAAAAGATTAGAAATCCTACAACAAATAAAATGACCAACGTTCTAAATGGCAACAGATTCCTTTATATAGAACCCCTTGAGCAAAACAAGGCCCTGCCTCGTTTCAGCTACTGCGCAGGTCTTCGATGTAAGATCTTCCATCGAGGGCAAAATTTCGAAAAACCTCCAATAACCTGCACAAATTGCTGGGAAACTGGTCATTCATTCAAATTGTGCCAAAACAATCCGCGGTGTTCTGCTTGCAAGGACGCAGGCCATAAACCCGGATCCGATCTCTGTCCGCAATACATCGAAGACAACTCTAAGGAAGTTGAGGCGTTCGATGGTCAGGAAAATGTAATATCAAATTTCTTTGCGTGTGACCTCAAAGTGTTCGGGGAAACTTTTAATTCCGCCGAGCAAGCATTCCAGGTCACTAAGGCAGTGCGAGCAGGCGATCTTATGGCAGCGGAGAAGATCCGAGCAGCAAAATCTGCACTGGAATGCAAACAGATCGGTAAATCCGTCCAAGCATCCGGATCCTGGCAACAGGACGCGCCTAAGATCATGGAGGAAATTGTGCTAGAAAAAGTGAAACAAGTTTCTGAGATGAAAAAGAGAATTATACAGATATATACTAACGAAAAGATCTTTGCGCATTCCGTGTACGACCAGTACTGGGGAACCGGTCTCAACTCTACGCAAACGTTGCACACCAAACCCAAGGCATGGCCGGGGCAAAACGTCATGGGTAAGATACTACAACATGTTGCGGAGTCCCTTCAGCAAAACACCCAACGCACGGGATCGCGGACCAGGAAAGGGAATGCCAACAAATCTGAGCAGAAAGATCTGGATGGGTTCGTAAAGAAGTCTGGTAAATCAAATAAATAAAATTTAATTATTAACCCAAAACGCGACCAAGACTATGGCTTGTGTTAAATTTTTATCTCTGAATTGTAGAGGGTTAAATAGTAATGATAAAAGAGTAATTTTGTATGAATGGTTAAACTGTCAAAAATGTGATATTATTTTATTACAGGAAACACACTTTGTTGATAAAAAGCAGAGTATCTATGATTCGAGGTGGCATGGTTCTGCTTTTCATAATTTTTCTGAATCTTCGCATAGTAAAGGTGTGTCAATATTTTTTCATAAAAATTTTACATTCAAAACCCTAAATTTACACAAGTCTGCTGATAGTCGAATCTTATTAATGAATATTGAACATGACAACAATATTATTACTTTGGTCAATGTTTATGCCCCAAATTTAGAAACCCAACGAATTAGCTTTTTAAAAAAAGTTACTAAGTGGATATTACAATATGCTATGAATGAAGAAAATCTGATATTTGCTGGAGATTTCAATTGTAATGTAAAGAATGAAAAAGATAAAAGTGGGAAAATAGTAAAGGAGATAATACAAAGATTTGATTTATTTGATATGTGGTCGGAACTAAAACCTAATAAAAATTGTTTAACGTGGTGTGATGGAAATGGGTCACCCAAAAGTCAAATTGATTATGTCATAGCAAGCAAACATTTTTGTTATGCTCCAGAGAACATTTTTTTACGCAAAGCCCCAAATGTTAATACTTGTAGAATGAGTGATCATATGTCAATAGTTTTTAAATTTAAAATATCATGTAACACTAGAGGAAAAGGCTTTTGGAAATTAAATGTATCTATTTTGCATGATACAAATTACGCTAAAACAATAAATGACTTTTTAAATAACCTTCCAGATGAAATAGAAAATGAGGAAAATCCGCATATTCAATGGGAATTAATAAAAATACATATAAGAAATTTAAGCATTAATTTTTGTAAACAAAAAGGTAAAACGATAAGAAATAAAATCCAACTAATTGAAAAAGAAATTGAGGAGATTGAAAATAGGAATTACGCACATATTGACGTTAAAAAAAAGAGAGAACTAGAAAACGAGTTAGATGAATTGTATAAATACAAAGCTAAAGGCGCACAAATCAGATCTAGAGCAAAATGGATTGACGAAGGGGAAAAAAATACGTCATATTTTCTTAGACTGGAAAATAAACACCAATCTCACAATGTAATCAACAAAGTTAACAACAATGGACATATATACACTAAAACAGATGAAATTTTGAAACAACTTAGCTCATTTTATGACGATCTCTACTCGAGTAAACATGTTTCGGATGAATGCGTTGATAACTATTTAAGTGAAATAAATCTTGAAAGTAAAATAACATGAAAAAAGAGAAACAATTGAAAATTTTCCTTCTTTAAAAGAATGTGCTGAGGCAATTTACCATATGAAACAAAATAAATCCCCGGGCAATGATGGTATACCAGTAGAATTTTAGAAAATGTTTTGGAAGCACTTAAAAACATATTTTTACAATGCCCTTATTTATTCTTTTGAACTAGGTGAACTTTCAAATACACAAAAATGTTCTATATTATCCCTTATTCATAAAAAAGGATCTCTAGACAAATTAGAGAATTACAGACCTATCAGTCTAACTAATATAGATTACAAAATCATAGCTTTTGTTTTCGCTAGAAGGCTACAAAATGTCATAGATACCGCTATAAACAAAAACCAGACAGGATATATTAAAGGTAGATTTATTGGTAATAATGCTAGACTTATCGTAGATATTCTAGAATACTGCGAAAATAATAACAAGGAGGGCATTTTACTCTTTGCTGATTTTCATAAAGCCTTCGATTCGGTTGAATGGAATTTCCTATTTAAAACTCTAGAGAAATTCAATTTTGGACCAAATTTCATAAAATGGATTCAAATATTTTATAAAAACCCCTTCTTCTATGTAAAGAACAATGGATGGTTGTCAAGAAAATGTCAAATGAAACGTGGAATTAGACAGGGATGTCCAGTATCTGCGTTACTTTTTTTATTCGTAATGGAAATACTAAATTTGAAAATAAACAATTGTAAAGATATAAAAGGTTTCAAAATTAATTCATTGGAAAAAGAAATTAAATGTGTACAACACGCCGATGATACTACGCTTCCACTGGACGATGAATTATCATTGGAAAATGCGTTAAACATTATTTACGATTTTGGCAAGGTGTCGGGCACAAAATTAAATATAACTAAAACAGAATGTATCATTTTAGGACCTCTTAAGGAAAGATTAGCTCACAAAACACATATATGTCAGACGAAAATAAATAAAGATACTTTAAAATGCTTAGGAATATATCTTGGAACTAACAAAGAAATTTGTAATGAAAAAATTGGATATGTAAACTAAAGGAGTTTGAAAAAATATTGGATTCATGGAGATGCCGAAAACTTACTATTTTCGGTAAATGTCAAATTGTGAACTCGCTTATTTTATCAAAAATTGTTTTCCCTGCAACGGTTCTAGAAAATCCAGGCAATGATTACATCAAAAGTCTGAATAAGCTCATTTTTTCATTCCTATGGGGCAATCGAGAACGCATTAAGCGACTTACATTAATTCGAGAAATTAAAGAGGGGGGTGTAGGAGTTATTGATCCGGACACCAAAATTAAAGCTATTAAAGCAGCTTGGGTATCTAAACTTTTACAAAATAAGAGCAATCTAAGTAAGCTTTTGAATGCAGTTTTAGTAACTCATAAGATGAATATCCAATATATTGCAGAGTCAAATGTAACAAAATTTTCTGACTTCAATAGTCTGAAAGGGCTTTCACAATTCTACAAAGAGGTTTTTACCGCCTTTAATGAATGCAAGACTTTAAATAACAATGAAACAATAGACAAAATTTTACGACAAAATATTTGGTTTAATACAAACTTTAGATACAAAGGGAAAATCTTGTATTTTCAGAACTGGTACGAAAGCGGCTTTCATTAATTGAAAGATCTTGTTAATGATACTGGTTTTAAATCGCTTAATAAAATAGCTGAAATACTAAAGTAAAAACGAAACTATCTTTGTGAATATTTAATATTAAAAAACGTTTTTTATTCTAAAATATATGGCGATACAAGTATGGGAAAATATATTAATATCAACAAAGAGTTTCACTTTAAATTACAAGGAAAAATAGAAGATATAAGTAAAACAAAATCTAGCTTCTTTTACAAAAACTTAATATTTAACAAGTCCGAAAAGCCTATCATGGAAAGTTTTTGGGAAAAGGAATTTAGCGATATAAACCCACTGTGTTGGCGAAAAATATATGAAGAAAAAATTGTAAAAATTAATGACAAAAATATTGCCGAATTCAATTTTAAACTACTGCACAATATGTTACCAAATAACTTGTATCTTAGTAAATGGAATAAAAATATTGAAAAATATTGTTCTCATTGTCAAGAAATAGAAAATACAAAACATATGCTTTTTGAAGTCATCGCTTGCTAACTTTTACTTTGTTAATCGGCAAGCACAAACTATCAAATTTGATTATTGTATGCTAAAAACTCTGTCTGAAAATTTGTAAATTATTAATTTTATTATTACTAATAATTGTTTTTTTTATTCATCACTCACTACAGGATTAGCCAGTAATCTTGTATTTCGGAGGTAAATTTATGATATGGACTCTTTGGTGTGTAAGGACTGTACCTCCGAATTTGTGAGTGGTCCATCGTCTTATTATATGACATATAAAAAAAAAATTCATATATAATATAGTAAGAATGTATGAAGTAACAATGAGTATTAGTATTTTTTAAAGACACAATCCATATATATAACTATATGAATACCTTTAAAAATATTTTTGAATCTACATAATTATATTCTTTGTATATTAATATACATATATGTTTTAAATTTCCAATCCAGGGGGCCCCTGGCACCCCAGGTGAGGAATACACTGAGGACCTCTTAGGAGGTATTGCCTCAAAACTTGACTTGTATTTTTGTTGAATAAAAACTCGGAAAAAAAAAAGAATTGGTACTGAAAGTAGTTGACACTGAAAAAAATAAGCCTCTTCCACCCCCACCCCCCCCCCCCCCCCCGAATAGGATTTTCGACTTTGGGCAACTTTCAACTCCCCCTACCTTTTTCTTTTTTGGCTTGTCAACTTTTTCAGGTAAGTAAAAAAAAATTTCTCCGGCTGCCCACCCCCCCCCCCTCCACACTTTCAAAAACGATGCTACGCCTCTGCTTCAAGCATGACAACTTTATTTTTGAAAATTCTTTTCAAAATCCATGGCATCCATAAATAACTACAAAACAGCGAATAGGTACGACGGCGTATGCGTGCCATTTTAACAATGTAGAATTTTTTTAAAATCGTTTGAACGATTTAAGAAAACGTTTGTACAATTTAATAAATCGTTTGTACAATTTGATTGTTAAATCGTTCGTACAATTTATTAAATCGTTCATACGATTTATCAAAATAGTTTGTACGTTTTTTATAAATCGTTTTACGATTAAGGAAACCGTTTTTACGATTTAAGAAAACGTTTGTACGATTTTAAAAAAATAGTTTGTACGATTTAATAAATTGTACAAACGATTTGATAAATTGTACAAACGATTTAACAAACAAATTGTACAAACGATTTATTAAATTGTGCAAACAATTTACTAAATTGTACAAACAATCTTTAAATCGTACAAACGACTTATTTAATCGTACAAACGACTTATTAAATCGTACAAACGACTTATTAAATCGTACAAACGATTTATTAAATCGACAAACGATTTATTAAATTGTACAAACGATTTATTAAATTGTACAAACGATGTATTAAATTGTACAAACAATTTGTTAAATCGTACAAACTTTTTTTTTTCAAATCGTTCAAACGATTTTTTAAAAAAAATTCTACATTGTTAAAATGGCACGAATACGCCGTCGTACGTTTCCTATTCGAAGTCATTAATATTTAAAACAATCGGTTGCTAGTCGCAAATTTTGTCATTCCTTTTCGATAATTTTATCTTTTTTAATCGATGATTATTTGGCTTATATGCAATAAAGTTGTTGTTCGAAAACATACTACCATCATTTCTATTCGAAAAAAATACAATTCCTATTCGATAAACTTCTCATCTTATTACATAATTTTATCTCTATGATCTCCTATGCGATGTTTTTTAAAATTCTTTTTCAATAATTGCCATGATTGCATTCTGGGAAATATGACGAATTAAAATACATGTAGAATTGGTTGTAAACTCAATTAAATAGGAATGTAAAGTTTAACATTATTATCGATTATAAATCATTTTATCACATAGATTGACAAAACAAAATTTGAAAATAATGGGAATAAGGCAGAAGTTTTCTCTCTTCAAGACTTA